CACATTCCTGGGCTTGCCAGGGGAGGTTTTGCGCTGTGTTGAGTATGTGGGCTTCCCTGCAGGACTAGTCTGACATGGGGGTGAGAGGCCCACCTGGCAGACTTATGAGGCACTGCAGGGAGTCATGTAAAGGACCAGGAGACAGGATCCCAGCATGTGTGGAGAGCTGGGGTGTGTTAAGGATAGTTCTCTCCCTGTGAAAAAGAGGGCTGGGGAGTTTTGCTGCCTTGGTTAGAAAGACAGGGTGGATATGCCCATTCTAAAAGTGAATGGGACAAGGCCCTAGATCCCAGATACCAAGCTAGGATCGGAAATCTGTATTTTCCTGGTTGAGTTTCTTTAATTTTAAAGTTCTTCCCCATTTATTTTCCATTTACTCTTTAGTCAAGTGTTTTTGAAAGTCTTACTGAAAGAAGTCATTCAGTTAACAGATATTTATTGAAAGTCTACTGTATGCCAGGCACAAGAATGGGTTAGTGAACAAGATAGTTCCTATTGTCACAGAGTTTACAGTCCAATTTTCTCTATAGAGAAAAAAATTAGGTGATTAAAATATGCTGTGAAAGGGATACATAGGCATATCCATGGTGATGTGAGTATGGCTATTTAGGAGAAGTTCAACACTTAGGGAACATAGAGAGGAGAGTAAGAGAGTAGAGAGACAGCCTCAGGTGTTTAGTGTGAACTCAAGAAGGGAGTTTAAAGGATGAGTAACATGGGGCCTTCAGACCTTCAGAGTGGTCGGATAGAAAATGAAGCTGAGGAGGCTGTAGTAGATCAGAAATCCCCTAGATTTTGCCTCTGATGTTAAGATTTGAAGAATTCATTGTTATTGTATTGAGGGAGCTGATAATTCTGTGCCAGGATCCACTGTTTTATTTATGGATAAATAAAACACATCTATCCCTGTTCCTTATACGTGGTTAATACTTCAGACCTTAAAAAGAAAAGAAAAAAAACTAAAAACTAATTTTAAGAGAACCCATTTAGCAGAAAATTTTGTGAAAATGTTGCAGTTGAAGAATTGTATTTTAGATTAAACCTTAGAGAGTGAAGAGGTTACTCTCCTGTCCTCATGGAATTTACAATCAAATGGAAGATACAGAGAACGAAATACAAAATTTTCAACATTTGTGAAGTTTAAAGGGCAGCAGACAGGGGAGGATTTAAATTTTCAGACAGCCAGGTCATGGAGGTAGGACATTTAACTCAACATAGCTCTGGGAAGTCCCATGGGGATATCAGAGAATATCCACTGGAAAGAGAAAGTTTTTGTGGGTTGACACAGCCCTTATCCTCTTAGAAATGTTGCAGTAATTTTTAAGTCTTAGGACTACTATAAGCTAATAACTCTGCCCTAGAGAGGCAAAAGAGAGGTCTTGTAACTAACTAGGCTTTTTAAAAAGTGTTACGTTGATATCATAATTTCTAATTATGAAAACACCTAGATGTGTTACTTAAAAAAATTGAACTCCTAATTTGTAGCTACTGAATCCCTTTGCAGCATTGTCAGTAGGACTGGAGGGAACAATTCATTGAGTACCTGCTATGTTTTATAGGCACTTCACACATGTTGCCTTTTCTAAGCCTTATAACAACTCCATGAGGTAAGTGCTTTTGTTTCCATTTTATAGATTAGGAAACTGAGGTTCAGTGGGTTTATGGAGGGTCACTTGGGGAGTAAGTGACAGAACTATTTGATTCCGAGTGTGTGTTCTCCTCACTCTTTTCATGGACTCTCTTCCCAGCCCAGAGGGTAATGAGCCTAAAAAAGAAAATCATATTAAGAGAATTCATATTGGAGGATTTTAAATCCCTGTAGAAAAAGTGGGGTTGGGTATGGTTGTCAGTACAAAAATTAAGAAATCACAATAAATAGAATACCAGAAATGTTTTATACAAATTGAATTCACACAATGTAATTAATTTCTCTTTACCATCTTTTACTTGCTAGAACATTTTCAGAATAAAGAGAGGCCCATTTTCAGAATAAAGAGATGCTAGTTTAATTTTATTGTACACAGAAACATGTATGTATAGTCTTACATGATAATGCAAATGTTTGATTTTCTAAGGTGTAGTCTTTAGGTCACTTTCCTTGGATTTTGACTGAAGATAGCTTGCCATTAGCTTGTAGACAATCTGGGGTTTGTGAGTGGGGGAGTGATTATGGTAATATAATTTTATAGAATGAAAACATTTGATAGGTAAAAGGAAAGTTTTCTGTTTTTTACTTTAAAAAATATTAGGATTACCTTAATCAATCAGTCAATTCAGTAACTGTCTGTTGAATACATACTACCTGTCAGATACTGAGCTGTGTGCTGAGGATATAACATTGATCAAGACAAACTGGATCTGTTTGCTGTGGAAAGTATTGTGTTGGCTGAAAAGTCCATATTTTTTTTTTCTGTGAAATAAAAGGTACATTTTTCATTTTCACCAATAACTTCATTGATTTGGATATTTTGAGTATGTTGGCTATGTCCTACTATTGGCTTCTAGTGGGTAGAGGCCAGGGGTGCTGCTAAATATCTTCCAATGCATATAACAGTCCCACAGCAAAGAATTATTTGGCCAAAATGTCAAAAGTACCAAGAAACTTTGCAAACCACTTCTGCCACATTTAATTAGTCACAGCACCTTCTCCAAACACATGTTTTTCATTTCAGTTGCATTTTTGCCTTTCTTAAAATGATAAAGCATAATATGCTGAAAATGTGTATTTTCTTCCATCTTCAATATTAAAATGGCTGCAAAAAAATTCACCAATTTTGGTAAGTTTTTTTAAACACATGCTGTTATGATAGCTATCACAATACAATATAACAAAATTGTTTCTAATGAAGTGAAAGACAACTAAATACTACTGGTGCCAACTTACAGAAAAAACTAAATGAACTTTTTGGCCAACCCAATATATAAGGAAGGAAGGAAAACAATGCTTGCTCAGATCCTGTTATGTGCCAAACACTGTCCTAGACTAATTAAAACCTTTCAGGGGAGCTTGTCTGTCCCTTTATATAAAGTACATGCACAAAAAAAAGAGGTTCAGAATATTTAAAGAACTTGTTCAAGATTACACAGCAGTAAATGGTAGCACTGGAATTCAAACCCAGAAATAAAGACTGCTTTTTCTCTATGCCACACTGCATCCTTGGCTGTGCAAACACTAAGAATTGTGAGTACTTATTAGTCATTTTATCCCTCCTTGATCTCTTTTCTCAAGGAAACAGCCAGATAGTGATTCTTACCCTGTTTACCTCATAGAGTACTCTTAAAACACAAAAGCAGTATAAACACATTTTTAAAAAGCTGTTCCTCTGAGAATTTCAGAAGAAAAGGCAAAGGGTGTACAGGAATGAGTATAAGGACACTTGGATAAAAACTAGGGGTGGGTGGAAATGGGAGGGAGGAGGGAAGCGTTGGGTGGGTGAGCTGGGATGGGAGTAAAAGATAGAAAATTATACTGCAACAACAATTTAAATAACATTTTTTAAATGAAAAAAAAGCTGTTCCTAATAGTTTAGCTTAATTTAATCTTATAAAAGCATATGAGTTTTTAAAAGATTTATTTATTTATTTATTTATTTATTTATAGACAGAGGGGAAGGGAGGGAGAAAGAGAGAGAGAGAAACATCAATGGGTGGTTGCCTCTTGCTCATTTCTACTGGGGCCCTGGCCCACAACCTAGGCACATGCCCTGACTGGCAATCAAACTGGTGACCCTTTGGTTCACAGGCCAGCATTCAATACACTGAGCCACACCAGCCAGGGAAGCATATGACTTCTAATAACAGGTTCATTGTAATAATTTACTGATGGAAAAAACTTCTAGTTCAGTAGGATCAGAATTTTATGAATAACTGTTGTCCTTTGCTTTATTAATTTAACACCAAATACATATTGGACACAGTAGACTTGTACTGAGCCTCTAGATAAGAAATTAGGGCAAATTCTATGTCCAAAAGTGGGTGAAAAGGACATATAAACAGAGAAATTATAAAACTGTATTATAAGAGATGCTAAAGATCTTTTGGGAGCTAACAACATTCTGAGCCTCCCTTTCCTAAGTTAGAAGCTTTTCCTCCTGAAAGTGTTTGTCAAGCTAGAAGACACCTGGGAAGCTTGTTAAAAACAGAATCCCACTTCACTCTTGCAGAGTCAGATTTTCTGGAGTTGGTGGCTGACTATCCATTTTAAACAAGTTTCTCAGTAGTTTTTATGAAGCCTGCTGGGACCAGAATTTGGGAAAAAGGCTTGACCCTTGATTATAGTCAATTGGCCTAAAGAAAAACAGCCCCCTAGCCCCTGACAGTGTGGACAGGGATGTGGTTATACTTTATTGGCAAAATTAAGAGATCCAAACCCACTTAGGGAATTCAGTGTGCTAAGGAGTGAGAAAGATTGGCAGGAAATTTTCAAAGCAGATATAGATGATATAAATTATAGCACATTATATGGGGTGGGGGTGCATTTTGTCTAACAGTTTTATCTATGAGTTCATTTAAAGCTGTTAGTAGATGCCAGTCAACTCTGTAGCATCTAATTAGTTAAGTAAGAGTTGATCAGAGAGTTTCATTTTTCTTTTTTAAGTCAAGGAAAATCTTCTATTCAAAGGGGACTTTAATGATGAAAGGTTGATGTATAAAGAACTGCTGTGGCTGAAGAAGAGGATGGATGAAGAGGTGGGTGCACAGAAAACCACAATGTAGCCAGCCATGCAGTCAGCAGCTCATGAGGGACTTGAGCCAGGGAATAAGTTTGCCTTATTTATTTATTTCTTGTTTTCCAAGTCTTGCATCATGTAGGCACATAAGTAACAGGTATACACTATTAGATGACTGCCACAGACTAAATGTGTTCCGCCACCCCGATTCATATGTTGAAATCGAATTCCCAGTGTGATGATATTTTGGAGATGAAGTCCTTGGAAGGTGATAGATTATGAGGGTAGAGTCCTCATGTATATCATTAGTGGCCCTTTTTTTAAATAAAGGAGACACCTCTTCTACCATGTGAAGATATAGTGAGAAGATTTCTGTCTGTGAACAAGGCAGCTGGCCCTCAGAAGACATTGAATTTGCTGGCACCAGGATATTGGACTTCCCAGACTGCAAAACTGTAAGAAATAAATTTCTGTTTTTTACCCTGTTGTTTCTAAGTTACCCAGTCTATGGCATTCTGTTACACCAAACAGACTAAGACAATGACTGAATGAATGAATTAGTGAAATGCCATCATTTTTGCTTCAAAATGTAATTGAGGAACAAAAGCCTTGCTAATATTTTTATCACTAAAGACTGAGATAAATAATCCATTTAGTTGTACATTTTCATCACCAAATTTTCTTAGCCACTCATGATCTTAATTGACTTTCTTTTCTTTCTTTTTTTATTGTTCAAGTATGTTTGTCTCCATTTTCACCCCACTACACCCTCCTGCCCCACCTCTCCCCATCTCCTACCCTTGAACCCACCCCCTTTGGTTTTGTCCATGTGTCTTTCATGCATGTTCTTTGATGCCATCCCCCCTTTATCCCCTATTATCCCCCTCCCTCCTCCTCTCTGATTACTGTCAGATTGTTCTTTATTTAAATGTCTCTGGTTGTATTTTGCTTGCTTGCTTGGTTGTTTTGTTGATTAGGTTCCACTTATGGGTAAGATCAAATGGTATTTCTCTTTCACCTCTTGGCTTGTTTTAGCATAATGCTCTCCAGATCCATCCATGCTGTCATGAAGCTCTTTCTTTCTTTCTGCTGCACAGTATTCCATTGTGTAAATGTACCACAGTTTTTTGATCCACTCATATACTGACGAGCGCTTAGGCTGTTTCTAGCACTTGGCTATTGTGAACAATAGCCAAGTGCTATTGTGTGGCTATTGTGTAGCATAATATTGTGTGGCTATTATGCTGCTGTGAACATTGAGGTGCATAGGTTCTTTTGAATTGGTTTCAGGATCCTTAGGAAATAATCCCAACAGTGGAATGGTCAGGTCAAAAGGCAGTTCCATTTTTACTTTTCTGAGGAAATTCCATAGTGTTTTCCACAGTGGCTTCATCAGTCTGCATTCTCACAAACAGTGCACTAGGGTTCCCTTTCCTCCACAACCTCTCCAACACTTGTTGTTTCTTGATTTCTTTATGATGGCCATTTTCACTGGTGTGAAGTGGTATCTCATTGTGGTTTTAATTTGCATCTCTCTGATAGCTAGTGATGTTGAACATCTTTTCATGTGCATCTCGGCCCTCTGCATGTCCTCCTTGGAGAAGTGTCTATTCAGGTCCTTTGCCCATTTTTTAATTGGGGTGTTTGTCTTCCTGTAGTGGAGTCATGTGAGTTATTTATGTATTTTGGCGATCAAACCTTTGTCCGAGGTATCATCTGCAAATACATTTTCCCATAGAGTTGGTTCTCTTTTTATTTTAATGCTGTTTTCTTTATCTGTGCAGAAGATTTTTATTTTCAGGAAGTCCCATTTCTTTATTCTCTCCTTTACATCTCTTGCTCTAGTAGACATTTTGGTGAAAACATTGATGCGTGGAATATCTGAGATTTTCCTTTCTATGTTCTCCTCTAGGACTTTTATGGTGTTGTGATTTATATTTAAGTATTTTATCCACCTTGAGTTTATTTTTGTGTATATGTAAGTTGGTGAACGAATTTCATTTTTTTTTTGCATGTAGCTGTCCAGATCTCCCAACACCATTTGTTGAACAGGATATTTTTGCTCTGATTTATGCTTCTGCCACATTTGTCAAATGTTAATTGACCTTAAAGACTTGAATTCATTTCTGGGCTCTCTATTCTGTTCCATTGGTCTGTGCATCTGTTCTTATGCCAAAACCATACTTTTTTGATTACAGTGGCCTTGTAATATAGTTTGATATCAGATATTGTGATCCCTCCTACTTTGTTCTTCTTTCTCAAAATTGCTGTGGCTATCAGGGTCATTTATGGTTCCATATAAATGTTTGAAATGTTTGTTCTATATCTGTGAAATATGCCATTGGCACTTTAATAGGGATTGCATTGAATCTATAAATTACTTTGGGTAATGTGGACATTTTGATTATGTGGATTCTTCTAGTCCATGAACATGGTATATGCTTCCATTTATTTGTGTCTTCCTTAATTTCTTTCTTCAGTGTTGTATAGATTTCTGAGTACATATCTTTCACCCCCTTGGTAAGGGTTTTTCCTAGGTACTTTATTTTTCTTGTTTATATAGCAAATGGGACTTTTTTCTTGATTTCTGATTCTGATCTTTCATTATTAGTGTAAAGAAATTCTGTTGATTTCTGAATATTGACTTTGAACCAGCTGTTTTGCCAAATTTGCTTATTAGGTTGAGTTTTTTTTGGGTGGAGTCTATAGGGTTTTCAATGTAAACTATCATATCATCTGCAAATGGTGACAGTTTTTACTTCCTCCTTTCCAAGTTGGATGACTTTTATTTCTCTTTCTTGTCTGATCACTGTGGCTCAGACTTCCAATACTATATTGAATAGAAGCAGACATCCTTGTCTTGTTCCTGATCTTGGTGGGAAAGCTTTTAGTTTTTGCCTGTTGAGTATGATGGTGGCTGTGGGTCTCTCACATGTGGCCTTTATTATGTTGAGGAATGCTCCCTCTATTCCCACTTTGCTGAGTGTTTTATCATAAATGGGTGCTGTACCTTATCAAATGCTTTTTCTGCATCTATTGAAGGCATCATGTGATTTTTGTCTTTCCTCTTCTTTATGTGAGGTATTATGTTTATTGGTTTGTGAATGTTGTACCATCCCCATCCTTGCATCCCTGGGATGAATCCCACTTGATCATGGTGTATGATCTTTTTGATGTATTGCTGGATGCGGTTTCCCATTACTTGCTTTTTTAAAATATGAAGTTATCAAACATTTGGCTCTTACAGTTCAATTTCTTCCAGGACTGTTTCTACTTGAATTAATCAGGAATAAAACCTAGGTGAAACCTGGAAATCTGGCAATATTCAGGCTGCTTTTTGGGGGGACAGGGAAAGGATAGGGCAAAAAGGAAGAAAGAAAACAATTTCTCTTTAAGAATCATACAGGACTAATTTGTAAAATAAAATTTATTTTTTGCCTGATTACAACAATAAAATATTTTCATTGTGGAAATTTTGGGGTAAACAGTAAAGCACAAAGAAGGAAATAAAATTGCTTTTTCTGAGATAATGCTGTTATTGGTATCTTGCTTTTATCACTAAATAATATGCATGGAATGTATATATTTCTTCTTATTAAATATTTTATGACCTTTTTTTAAACATTTTTGCATTATCTATGGAAAAATATATCACATTTTGTTTAACTAATTTCTTGTTGAACATTTAGGTTATTTTCTATTTTTTCACTTATTAACAGTGGTACATTAAATACCTTTGTATTTTTTAAAAAAAAATTCACCTGAGAATATTTTACTATTGATTTTATCCTCAACCAAGAATATTCTTTTCATTGCTTTTAGATAGGGGTGGGGAGAGAGGGTGGAGGGAGAGAGAGAAACATGGATAGGCTGCCCTCTCCTATGAACCCACATGGGGATTGAAACTACAACCTGTGTATATGCCCTGACCAGGTATTGAACCATTAAGTTTTTGGTGTATGTGATGATGTTCCAACCATACCACCTGGCCAGGGCGATATCCCTTAAATTTTTCTTTGTGTGTGTCTGTGTCTCAGAATTTATGGTATGTGTATTTTTAAGCCTTTTGATATACCTGGCCAAATTGCTTTCCAGAATGGTGGTGCTTTCCTCCTGCTGACAGTGTATTCAAGTTCTTGCTTCTCATAACAGAGTTTTACTTTTCATCTGCAATGACTTTCTGGCTATTTATGATCAGTATTGGTTATCTCACAGTGAGTACACCACCTTTCTAGTCTTGGGAAGGAAGAGAGGCTATTAAAGCCCTAGGTATAGATATTTTCCAGAATTTACAATTAAAAATCTATCTCAATATTTTGTTTTTCTAAGACCCATAGATACAGAGATCAAGGGGATGATTGACAAAGGGAAGGGGTTGGGAGGATTGGTAAAAAGCAAAAAAACAAAACAAAACAAAACAAAAACCCCCAAAAGCAAAAAGGCAAAAAACAAAGAACTCCAGAAAAGTCCAAGGAATGTTATTTAGCTGGCTTTGTGGCTGCTGCTCTTTCCACAGGACATTCTGAGTGTTTCCTTCTTGACTTCAAAACTTCATCCTTGGGTCTAAATAAGATATTACCCTAGAAGAACCTCTGCCACCATGATCACCACCACTTCTGAACTGAGTCTATCTTGGGCTGTAAAGTTGCTTTGGGTACTTTTCTAGATGTTAAATTTATTTGTGTAGAAGCTGAAACTAGTCACTTCACCACATTTGTGATATGAGTCACATTAGAATAAAGATCTAAAAAAGTGGTAAATTGTTCTGCCTAAATTACAGCAATCATGACTGTGGATGTTAGCATTCATAGCTATAAACACTATCTCTCCTAGTCCCTTTGAGTTCAATATGGGTCTGACAATTTTTAAAATGATGTAAGGAGGGGGGAAAGAGATAAAGAGAGAGATAGAAAATAGGTGTGTTATTCTGGAAATTTTGAACAAGAGTCCTACATGTTGTTATAGCATACTGCTATAACCAAGTATGAGCTCAACATACACACACCCACATACTTTAACCATTTAGCAAGAGTCCTCTGACATTGTTTTCTTTCTTTGCTCACAAAACTGAAAAGCTGGCAGAATTTTTAATTTGTAATTTGGCAATATTGCAATTTACAGGCAAGAAAAAAGGCAAGTCAGATTGGGTGAAGATTGTTTAAGAATTATTTTTTGACTCTAGGCAGTGAAAATCATGAAGCTGAATATGCACATTCAAATGTTTTCTGCTTAATTTTTGATCACATTCACTGGCACTGGCAGAGGTAGAGCTTTCCAGTGAAGATAGAAGTATTGGTTTAATTGTTTTGAAATATTGATTGGGGAAAAATGAAATGTGATTTTATTCAGGCTTCATAAGTCCATCTTAATCGTGAATTATACAAACACAGACTCAAGAGTTGGAAAGTCAGAATCAGACATGTTTTCAGACCTAAGCTTTTTCCATGGGTTCCTG